GATCTATTCATTTGTTTACCTACTAGGCATCTTTTAGGGAAATGCTACAGTCGGGACCATTCCGTCGGGATGATCTAACGGTTACAAACTCTGACGGAATGGTCCCGTAATGGGACTGGAGCTATCTCCCCATCTTTTATTTCTCTGTTTTAGACATGTTATCTCTTTCTTGATGCACAAAATTTGATGGGAATTGCACAAAATTCAATTTTGCTAGTTCTTTCTTTATTGAATAAGAGAAGGGGATCTATGATGGTAAGAACTTTTGAGATGTTTGAGCTGATTGTGCATTGCTTTTCTATCATCTCCTTCTAGACGGATTAATTTGAAATCCTTGGCTCTAAATTTGTTGTAAACCCTATTATTGTGTGACATAAATTTTATGGAGCTATCTGATGGTTTTCTTATGGAGCCATCTGACACTTAATGTATTGATCCAAAGTGTATTTATTGTAGGACACATGTCAATACACTATTTGTGAATAAGTGTGGATGGCTCCATAAGTAGTGCTATCCGATGGTTCCATAACAAAACTGTATTGTATGAATGCTATTTTTTTTTAAATTATTTTGCAGTAATCGAACCTAAAACAACAAATTTTACAACGTTTTAATAATGTCCATACATTTAATAATTTTACAAATTAGACTAGTTTTAGATAATTAATAATATATTGTTTGTACAAATTAAAAAAGTATTGCAATATATATTTGTTAATTAGTCATTGTTTTATCTATTGTCTTTCTACAATTAATACTTTCATGTTAGGGACACTAATTTAAAAATAAATAAGATACTCGATAAAAACAAATCATAAATTGACATAACAAGTAATAAAAGCAATATAAAAGTAAGATCTATATGTATCTATATAATAAGGTTTGACTTTTTTTTTAAGGTATATGTAATTTTCCACTAAAACACTTTTAGTTACTAAAAAAGAAAATTCTCAAGAATTATTTATTTTATTTTTCTTGTTTTTCTTTTAAGCATTGTATATTTTCTTAGCATTGTATACAATTATAATAATACTTGCAAGATTAATCAAATTGGATTATTAATAATCTTGTAACAATATATAAAATAATCGTTATGACAATTTGTCTTAGGTTATATATATAGAATGAGAATATAATTATTTTCAAGCACTCTATCAATTATAAAACCATAATATTTAACAACTTATGAATAAAATTTACAAAAACATTAATTGATATGCAAAATATCTCTCCGCTACAGTAACTCATGCGGGTATCGCATTATCGAATCAATCAATTAATTTTAAATTATAAAAACTTATTGTGTTTGTATTTTTTTAAAAAAAAATATGAATATGGTAAGAAATAAATGATTTAGCTTTAGATATATAATTTATAATCTTAATATATTATCATTTGTCACAAACATTTATTGCATATCATAAAATATTTTTATTTCATAAAATTAAATACATTTATTGCATATCATAAAATATTTTTATTTCATAAAATTAAATACATTTAAGAAAATAAGGCAATTTCTTTAAATCAATCGATTGAATTAGGTTACTGATCGGATTGATTGAATTACTTTTAAGTGATATTTAAAATAATTCAACAACATGGCACAATTTACCAAATTATGGGTCAATTTGGCCAAACCAAAATGATTATTAAAACTAATTATAAATTTTAATATTAAAAATATCTTTTTACTATAAATTAATGTAGTCCAAGCTCCAAATAACCATATTGTGAATGCTTTTGTGAAACATGTTCAGTGATTTATGAATATTTTTATATCATTTTATTAATATTTATTGCATTACAAATTTTATTTAATGTACGGTAAATTCAAAGTTCTCAGGAACATGACCATCAAGTTATTTATTTTATGATTTACTGACTGGACTAGAATTTAATTTTTTAATTTATATATATATAGTCGTATTTGTAATAAATGTATATACTAAACATTAATTAAATATATGAACAATTTAAAATTTCAAATATTTAAACTATAAATAATTTATAAATCTCCATTTAATTTAAATATGTATTTTTATTTATATTAAAAATAATATAAAATGTAGCAAAAATTTATTTAAAAATCGTAACAATCCTATCAGTCGCCCGTGTTGACGGTTCTTCTAGCAAACATTTTATTCAACGATATCGAACTAATCAATAAATCGTTCCTGGTCCAACCGGTCGTACGATCCGATCCGGTCTAGTTTGAAGACAATGGGTAAACCATGATTAATGTTATTTCTATTTAATTTATAAATGCAAATATGTTAAAAAATTAGGACAACAATTTTGGGATTACATTTTCTACTGCATATCTCAAAATTTACAATTTGCTATGTACACCAATACCCCAAATCGAATATGAGTAGTATTCTAATATTTACATATGAAACCATATTGATCGTTAAAGGTTGTGTTTTTCCTTTCTAATTAAAAAATAAAATAATGATAATTGAAAATTAAGTAATGATAGATGCTAACATTTCAACAGTGAAAAAATGTATGAAAAAATGTATGCTGATAGAAGCAAAAATTATTTATGGTATAAAAAAATTATATTTTAAAACTTGGTCAGGTAACACTACTAAATAGACAATATACAATGGAACAACTAAATAAATACATTGTATGGAGCAGTACTACTAAACTATAAACCAATAAAAAATATTTAATGCGCATAATTTTAAATCAATAAAAAATATTTAACGAACTTATTATACAATTTTCGGTATAATAAAAAATATTTATTGCATTTATTATACAAAGTGAAATATTTGTCATATGTTGTTTATATATTGTTTCTTATTTATATTTTTTTGTTTATTTGTAGCATGTATGTTATTAAAGATCAATATACAACCTTTGCCAAAGTTTAATACATACTATTTAAGAAAAATATATAATATTTTATATACTTTTAAACTTGTTAACTATATTGTATTAGAATACTTTACTATATATAAATTTCATGTGACTTTGCACCATCTATATATGTATATAGGTTAAAATTACTTAAAAGGTTAAAATTACTTAAAACAATAAGTGAAAAAACTTATTTTAAATTATTTTATTCGGAAATGTTTTTAGAAAGCTGACAGAAAGAAGTGCTAAGAGAAGCATAATAAGAGAACAAATATTTTGTATATATCTCTGATGTCTCTGATGTACATAATAAGAGAATATATATATACAAAGGCTAGGGCTAAACAACTTGGACAACAAGATATCCCACTTAATTAAAGTAAATATAAATATAAGATATTTCCTATGCTAACAAAAGCTTTTAGTAGATGTTAGAAAAATATATTTCAATTCTTCCTAATAAAAGTTAGTTTGTTTTTAAATACATTATAAAGGATAGATATAACAAATATATAATTCTTTCACAAGTTTTGGAGTTTTTGTTGCAAGTTACCGTTTTAAGTTTTAAATTTTGGTGGCAAATTACAGTTTTAATTTATTTTCTTTTTTTTTTAACATATAATGATTATTTGATCAGGTGACTTAACAAAAAATGTACAAACCAATTTTATTTATTAATTTATGTTAAATGAGATGCAAAAAACTTGTTCGATATATTTTAGAACTTTATTGGACTATAAATAAGTGAGAGAAAATGTCAATTTTCCCTTAATTTAATGCCAAATTTGTTTTATTATGCCTAAATTGACATATTTTTTATGAATATGTTATATATGTATATATATTATATTGATTTATTCTTTTTCAAAATGAATTTAATAAATAATTAAATATAAAATACTCTTTCTTAAAAAATATAAACTACTAATAAAGACTAGATTGAGCTTTTTTTTTTTTTTTTTTT